AGTTCAGTCGCTCAGTCGTGTCCCACTCTTTGCAACCCCTGGAACTTCAGCATGCCAGGCTTCCCTGTCCTTCATCAACTCCCAGAGGTTGCTCAAACTCATGTCCATCGAGTCCAGGGGTGAGTTAGGAAGTCCACAGACTGAAGGGGCACACTGGGGGCTTAGCTGCATCCATTGTTTATGGGTAAAAAATTCAATTGGATCTTGGTCCTTCCCTAGTAGTCCAGAGGAAGGAGAGGGCCTTGGAGGAGAGAACAGGGCTAAAGTACCTGGGCCCAGAGGAGGTGGACCAAGATGAGGCAAAGAATTTGACAAGTTCAGAGCCTGAGCTCTTTCTTTTCCTCAGTAGGGTCAGGCCCTTGACCCTGCAGAGCAGGATGACATGCTGGTATGAAGAGGATGGATACATCAGTGGATCCTGGCAGTTTGGCTTCAATGGACAAATGTGCCTCCGCTTTGATTCAGAGAATGGACACTGGACAGAGGTTCATTCTGGAGGGAGACAGATGAAAGAGAAGTGGGAGAATGACACAGATGTGACCAACTTCTTTTTTTTTTTTTTTTTTAATTTATTTATTTATTTATTTTTATCACAACCATAGTGTATCTTTTTTTTTTTTTTACATGTATTCCCCATCCCAGATGTGACCAACTTCTTGAAGAGGGTCTCCATGGGAGACTGTCGGGACTGGCTTCAGGATTTTATGGTGCCCTGGGAAAAAACGTTGAAGACCTCAGGTAAGTGAGACAAGTATAAGGAAGTGGTAGTCCACGCAAGGTGATATGGACCCAGTCTCTGTGTGTGTCTGTGTGTCTCTGTGTGTACATGTGTCTGTGTGTCTGTGTGTGTGTCTGTATCTGTGTGTGTGTTTGTTTTGGCAAAGTGATCCATCTAAAGTGAGCTGTTGCTGAAACATGGATGGACTTAGAGAGAGAGTGTCTTACTGAGTGATCTAAGTCAGAAAGAGAAGGAGAAATATCTTATGACATGCCTTATATGTGGAAACTAAAAAGAAATAGTATAAAGGAACTTACAAAAGAGAAAGAGACTCACAGACTTAGAAAATAAGCTTATGGTTCCCTGGGGGAAGGGATAGTTAGGGACTTTAGGAAGGTCATGTACACACTGCTATATGTAAATGGATAACCACAAGCTCCCATTGTATAGCACATGGAACTCTACTCAATGTTATGTGCCAGCCTGGATGGGGAGAAGGGGTACATGTATATCTATGGCTGAATCCCTTTGCGGTTCACCTGAAACTATCATAATGTTGTTGATGGCTACACCCCAATACACAATGTTTTTGGTGCTAATAAAAGAATGTAAAAAAAGAAAAAAAGTGAGTTGTCCTGGGAGAACACTGACCCGGGGATGCTCTGTCATACTCCTTCCTCTTCCACCTCCTGATGTCTCTTCCTCATATTACAGGCCTTTGGACGATTGAACATGGATTTTTCCTGATGCCAACCCTGTAGACATCTTTTTGATTTCTGGGATTTATTTCTCACTGTACACTCTTTCCAGAGTCTTCTTCTCAATATCACCAATCCTCCTTCTGGAAATCTGTCAACACCACCTCTGCTGTCAGCTTCTGAGGACTCCATCCTCATGTCACTGTCTCTGTGTCCCAGCAGGACTCAGTGGCTGTGTTGGAAACCTCGCTCCCCCATCAGCTGTCAGAGCCCCTGAGGACGGGGCTCCTCCATTCCCCCATCTCACCTGGGGATCTATCACTGGGGCCTCCATGTGATGGGTGTAAACTGTCTGCACAGTAGGGGTACCTGAGTCAGGGGGGTGAGGAGGCATCTGCTGAGTTTGGGGTCTGGACAAGGGCATCACTCTTACTCTCCTTGCAGCATCACCGACCACAGTCCCCCCTACAGTGCAGCCCAGGAGGTGCCAGGGCCTGGGATTAATCTGTGATGCAGGAAGGAAGTGTTGTATAAAGGGGAACCCCTTCCAGGGCCAGAAACTGGGCTCTTGTGTAACACTCAGAAAAGGATTGTCTGAGGAGACACATGTGCTGACAAAGCAAGAGATTTTATGGGAAGGGCACTTGGGTGGAGAGCAGGAGGGTAAGGGAAACCAGGAGAACTGCTCTGCCTCGTGGCTCACAGTCTTGGGTTTTATGGTGATGGGATTAGTCTCCAGGTGGTCTTTGGCCAATCATTCTAATTCAGAGTCTTTCCTGGTGGCCCACATATCGCTCAGCCAAGATGGATGCTAGCGAGAGGGCTTCTGGGAAGTGGACGGACACATGGTGTCTCCTTTTGACCTTTCCCGAACTCTTCTGGTTGGTGGTGGCTTATTAGTTCCGTATTCCTTATCAGGATCTCCTGTCAAAAAACAACTCATGCAAATGGTTACTATGGTGCCTGGCCAGGGTGGGCAGTTTCAATCAATGTGCTTCCCCTAACAGAAGGAGGAGGTGACAAGAAGCTGCCGGGCCTGGGATGGGGGTGGGAGTGAAGGACAGAGGAGCCCCTCAGTGAGGTCGGGGCTGAAGCGGGGACTGGGGAGGGGCAGCTGCAGGAATGTGACAGGATTTCCTCAGTCTCCTGGACCAAGGCCTCTTTCTTTTCTGCAGGAGGCGGTGTTTCCAGAATGCGCCTTACAGGGACTCTCTGGCTTTGACTAAGCCTTTTTGGCCGCCTTTGTTCCCCTTCCGTTTACTTTATAGCCAAGAAGTCAGAGCCAGGAGTTCTGAGCCTCCCTTCCCGTTATGATGACGCAGTAACTGCGTTGTCTCATGTGTCCTGTTATGTCTGGGGAACAGACTCCTCAGTCTCCTTTTTTTCCACCAGTCTATTCTGCCTCTTTCTCTTGGTGCTAAGTGATGGAATCCCTGCAATGAAATGTTCAACTACTTGAACAAGAGACCTCCACACATAGGACACTTTCTGTCTTCTTCTAGTTTGTGAAGAATCAGACTCTCCTCCGTATGGCAATCTCGTTGTTGCAAGTGATGATAATGCGAGAAAAATATCGTCTTCTATTACAGGACTCAGGGATTCTTTCTGTGTTCAGAGAAACAACTTCAGAGTATTTTCAACAGAAGAAAATATTATGTGAGTGTCTCTTTTAGTAATTTTATTTCCTAATACTAATACTTAAGTCAGTATCTTGCTATTGCAAAAAACATAAATTCTTCAGCTTTCTTTTTCTTCAAGGAGAGAACTCGGGACATTTCACCTTTTTTTCTACCTATTGGGATTAAATAGAATTGATGATTCTGCTACATTTATTGTGGAAGCAGAGAATGAAAAGAACACTCTTAAAGTAACCTGTAGCCTAGCTGTCAAGTTGGCAGCATGCCAAGAAGCTGTAAGATATAGTTTGGGCCAAAGCAGAAAAGGAAAGACAACCTTAACAGAAGTAGGTTACCTTTATTCAGGCAAGGAGGGGAGACTCCATATTTATGGGGAGGTTTGTGGAAGCGATAAGGGAAACGTTAATCAGGCCAGATATTTTGAGTATTCTTTAGTTGAAATTGCATTTGTAGTTGGGCAGGGGGTGGTAAGTCTTCTGGGCAGGTGTAGGGGGTGGAAGGTTTCTGGGCAGGGGGTGATAAGTCCCAGATAGATGCAACCACCCTGGAGCATGAGGGGGGAACTAAAGTTCTGTTTTGTTTTCTCCAAAGTTAGATGATTCAGCAAGGGCCTTTGAGACTGTTGTTTTCTTTTCTAGGCCCAAAAGACTCCTTCAGAAGCTATTTTAGTTACTGTCAGGCCTCTCTGGAGTCTTGGCTCCAACACAACTCTTATACACACGCCTTCCATTGTAGACCACGTGCGGTCGCCTGTGGCCAGTCGGATTAACACTGGGGTGCATTGGGTGAGAGTAAATCTTGATCACTGAAGACAAAGTCCGCCAGGTTAGGATGGAGAAGAAAGTAGGGAGAAAAATGCAGGATGACTGAGCAGAAGATGGAAAAAGAAGCAAAAGAGGCAGGTGGGAGACAGAGGTGGGGTGGGGGGAGCCGTTGTCGGAAGGAGAGGAGAAGCCAACATGACCCTGAGCATTTTGTTCACAAAAGTTACGGGGTCTGTGAGGGTGGGGTATTTAAAGTGAATTTTGCTTTTTAATGTCACCACTGTTTTCTTTGTGGTTGTTGTTGCTGTTTTTAATGAGGAATTACATTTGAATATTTGCAAGATACTTCCTCGGTATAATTGTTCTTTGCATTGTTTTTCAACAGGGCTTTCTCAGTCTCGGACTGAAGACTTTGGGCGGTGGGCAGAGGCGGAGGTATAGACACACTCCAGGCTACGATTTGCCCCTTACTCTTCTAAAACTGCTGGGAGGAATGTCTCTAGCTCACACCGCAGGCCATCCTTTGCTGACACTGCAGCTGATAGAACCCAGGAAGACTCTGGGCAGTGAGTGTCCTGGGATCTGGGGCTCTGGCAGGGGGAGTGGAGCAGGGGAGGAGGGGAAAGGAAGGGGCTCCACCCTGGTGGGGGCCTGTCTTCCAGCTCTTAGGATGGTCAGGTGTGGTTTAGCTGGACGGGCTGCCCAGGAGGTGACACCCAGTGTGCAGGGACTCCAGCCCAAGACAGGGTGCCTGGGCCTGTGCTCCTGGAGCAGCTTGCCCTCTCATGCCAACTCCACCTCCCACTGCAGTAAAAACTTTCCTGATGATTAGGGGCCCCTCCTGAATGTAGCCTGTGTTCTGTGGTGTTTTTTTTCCCACTCCTGTTGAAAGTGCTGTTTGTTCAGATGGATTTTTAAGCCACTAGAAGGCAGACATTGTCTTCTGTTTGTGCTGCCTCAGAAGTTGGTACATGACAGTAAAAATATGTCACATAAATCTTCCTGCTAACAGTATTGGACCCAAAGGATCCACAGTGGCATCCAAGAGATTAAAGCTCAGACAGTTCAAGATGAGCCAGGACTGAGGACGCAGCAGAGGAGGGGGTCTGGGATAGAGACCCCTCCCTCAGCAACCAGACCCTGGAGGGGAATCTCCCAGACACACCTGTGGTTTCTCTCACAGATGCCCACTCTCTGTGCCTCAACCTCACTGTCAAATCTCAGTTCAGACCGGGCCAGCCCTGGTGTCAAGTCCAGGGCTCTGCGGACACAAAGCCTTTCCTCCAGTGTGACAGTGACAGCAGCAAGGTCAGACCTTTGGATTTCCTGGGGGAGGTGGTAAACGACACCAAAGCATGGACTGAACTGAGCCAGACGCTGGGAAAAGCAGGAAGAGAGCTCAGGATGGTCCTGCCTGTCATCAAACTAGACAAAAAGGAGATGAGGGGTAATATGGGAAGGGGGTGGGGAGCTGGAGACAGCAAGAGAGGGGTAGGGGTGGAGTGTATGCAGGGAGGCCCTTCCTGTGAAAAGACTGAACACGATCCAGCCTTAGAGACCCGCTGGACCTGATGGGTAAGAGGGGGAGGTCATGGTCCGAAGATCACGGCCCCTAGATGTGCAGACACACTTGAGTGACTGGGGAGGATGGACTGTGGACATCCAGAAAGATTCACTGTGTGTGCGGGGCAGGTCCTCCCTCCCTGCAGGTCAGGCTGTGTTGTCAGCGTGAAGCCGGGCAATGCTCTGGTGCATCCTTGCTCTTCAGCCTCAATGGACGGACAGCCCTCCTCCTTGACCCCATGAGCATAACCTGGACAGTCATCGATCCTGGAGCCACAGTGATCAAGGGGGCATGGGGGCACAACCAGGAACTGGCAGAGTATCTCAGGAAGATCTCAACGGGAGACTGCAGTTATTGGCTTAGGGAATTCCTGGAACACTGGGAGAACATGCTGCTCCCAGAGCCCACAGGTAACTGAGTGGGGTGTGGGGGAGGTGGTAGCTCTCTTCAACGGTCTAGTGCCTTCATGTGTGGATATGAGCACATATGTTTGTGCAACTGAAAATATGATGGATGGAGAGAACAACTGATCTTTGGTGGACTTCCTGTCTGGAGAGTCAGTGATGGGCATTGCATAGGATTTCCCACATCCTCCTTTCCCAGCCCACCTCCCTTAGCACAGGAGCCCCTTTCCTCATTAACCAATGACCCAGTTCCATAACCCTGCTAAATGGTCCCCAGATTTATATACATATTATGTTTCCAGACCTTCTCTCCTTCCTGTTGTCCTGATCCTTTAACCAGCTCAAATGTCACTTAAAGAAGCCCTCACCCCTCCCCAGATCGAATTAAGCACCTCCCCAGCTGTGTTCTCCCTAAAAAGGACTCCCCACAGTAAACGTGTCCACCTGCAAGATTGTCAAATAATCATTTGCTCTATCCCTCAGTAGAAGTAGAAGCTCTGTTATGAGGACAGAGCCCAACTCTATTCATCTTTCTGCCCCAATTGCTTCACGTATCGAGCCAGCATCTATGTAGGTGGACAGGTGCTGTCTGCGGACAGTAGATGCTGAGGAACGTGGACTCTTAGATGTGACAAGGCTTGTGCCTTTTTGTTTGTTTTAGAACCACTCAGAAAGGCCCTGAATAACCACCAGCCTGCATCTATCCCATTAAATAAATGCATCCTCCCATTGATCTTCATCTTCATTATCTTCATCTGCCTAATTGTCATCATCGTCAAGAAATGTATGAAGAAATCAGGGACCACAGAAGGTGAGAATCAGGCTGGCCTCTGGTTCCTGGGCAGGTTTCTTCCAGTCAGGACTTCAGAGAAGTGAGCCACAGGTCTCACCCAAACCGCTCTCTACTCGTACCTAGGAGGATGCTCTTTCTTAGTCTTGGGCCCCCACACTTCCCGGTAGGTCTGAAATTACTCTGTTGTTGGGGTAGAAGAGGCTGTGTAGGCAGTAAGATAGTGCAGTGAGCAGAGGGAAACCAAGTATCTACTCCTGTGTCAGGGAGGGGAGAGGCGGGGTCTAAACTTTAAAAGGCTGGGGTGGGGTGTTGTCTTGTTGAGATCACACCCAGGGTTTCCCCAGTTCTTTGATGAAAAAAAAAATGTTTCTTTTCTGACAATACCGTGATTCAGTTCAACAGTTTACCTAATGTTCTAACAGCTCTTCGTTCCATCATCTGATGTTTCTTCTATTGACCATGAGAAGGTGGGAATGTTAGATGAGCCCTTGGATGAAGAAACTGATCCTTACTGCCAGTCTGGCTGCCAGTCTAGTATATTCTCCTCTACTCAGAGTTGTGTTTACCAAGAAGCTAGAGAACTCCTGACTTTCCATGGCTGTTGATGGGCCCTTCCCATGTATTGACTTAGTCATTTTGAACAATTTGCTAAATAAGATATTTGCTCCTAATCAGTTAAGGGTATCAGCTTTACCTGATGCTTTTCTATGAGTTCCCTCCATTTTAGGTGGAATTGGAGTGTTTGTTGGCACTTTTAAATTCCATTAAGAGGAATATGAGTTAGGAATAAATATATGTGGTTTAATGAGATATACTTCATGTGTTCTCACTTTTATGCACAGTTACTTCATGCTTTTATGGCCAGAATTGTATTCCCCTGAATTCATGTGTTAAAACCCTAAACCCCCAGGACCTAAGAATATGACTATATTTAATGACAAGGCCTTTATAGAAATAATAAGGTTAAAATGAGGCCATTAGGGTCTACCCCTAATCCAGTCTGATTGGTATCCTTATAAGAAAATGGAACAGACCTGGTATGTTACATGGAGGGCCATGTGAAGACATGGGGATGAGATGTCTGTCTGCAAGCTGAGTCAATTCCTAGGCAGGTTTAAAAGAATTCCAGGGACCCCGAGGAGGAGAAAGGGGTCTGGCGCTCTCAAGGAGGAGATAGGGGTCTGGAATTCTCAAGGAGGAGGAAAGGACAAACTTTTTTTCTACATTCCGTAATAAGGACAGAGGATGAGATGGTCTGGGAGTTGGTGATGGACAGGGCTATCTTCTCACAGCTGCTCCAGTGCCTACCATCTTACTGGGGTTTCTCTGACCTTGGACGTGGGGTACCTCCACACGGCCGGTCCAGCAAAGTGCAGCCAATGCTTCTGACCTTGGACGTGGAGTACCTATTCACAGCTGCTCCAGTGCCAAGCAGCCGCGGCTCACCCAAGATTGCTGGGAGAAATATCAATAACCTCAGATATGCAGATGACACCACCCTTACGGAAGAAAGTGAAGAAGAACTGAAGAGCCTCTTGATGAAAGTGAAAGAGGAGAGTGAAAATGTTGGCTTAAAGCTCAACATTCAGAAAACTAAGATCACAGCATGTGGTCCCATCATTTCATGGCAGATAGATGGAGAAACAGTGGAAACAGTGGCAGACTTTATTTTGGGGGGCTCCAAAATCACTGCAGATGATGACTGCAGCCATAAAATAAAAAGACACTTACTCCTTGGAAGAAAAGTTATGACCAACCTCGACAGCATATTAAAAAGCAGAGACATTACTTTGCCAACAAAGGTCCATCTAGTCAAGGCTATGGTTTTTCCAGTGGTCATGTATGGATGTGAGAGTTGCACTGTGAAGAAAGCTGAGCACTGCAGAATTGATGCTTTTGAACTGTGGTATTGGAGAAGACTCTTGAGAGTCCCTTGGACTGCAAGGAGATCCAACCAGTCCACCCTAAAGGATATCAGTCCTGGATGTTCACTGGAAGGACTGATACCGAGGCTGAAACTCCAATACTTTGGCCACCTGATGGGAAGAGCTGACTCATTGGAAAAGACCCTGATGCTGGGAAAGATTAAGGGCAGGAGGAGAAGGGGACGACAGAGGATGAGATGGTTGGATGGCATCACCAACTCAATGGACATGAGTTTGAGTAAACTATGGGAGCTGGTGATGGACAGGGAGGCCTGGAGTGCTGCGGTCCGTGGGGTCACAGAGTTGGACATACTGAGTGACTGAACTGACTGATTGACCATTTATTGAGATTTGTGCACTAAACTGTAGGGGTGTCACATTTCAACAATAAATTAATATCACAGTTTTCACTATATCTAGACAAACTGGAAGTTTTCTCCTTCCGGAATAAAATCAGTTAATTCAATTATGAAGATGCTGTAAATTTTTCTTTTCTGATGAGAATCACAAGTTTTTATTAAAACTCCTGTATATCAAGGACACAAATTATATCAGACTTCTATTTTCCATAGCTGCCAAAGAATAAATTTTGATTGTTTTAAGCTGTCGGGTATGGTAATTTTTTATGAAAGGACTTCCAACCCAGTCCACATCAGCTTGAGCTGTATTTCCAACACCAAAGGTAGTTGGTGAGTCATAATGCAGACAGGAGACCAGTTTTAGAAAAGAGCAAAGAAATAGACCCAGGGATGTCTAGACACTTGACATCTAGTAGGTGTGGCAAGAAATACCAGTGAAGGGTGTACTGATCAGTACATAGGAAAGGGGTAACTGGTTAATGATGTAAATAGAAAGGAATTTCTATTTGACACAATATAGAAAAATTAATCTTAGGTTGATTAATACATGAATATGACTGTTCATGCGATCACAGGGCTGCACGCTAGTAGGAGTGTATTTGGTGAGTTTCTTTAGGTAGGGGGCTGGAGCATTAAAAAAGAGGACACTGTTTCAGGTAGGATTCAGGTTGTTGTTGAGTCACTAAGTCATGTCCAGCACTTTGTGACCCCATGGACTGCAGCACACCAGCCTTCCCTGTCCTCTGCTTTCTTCTGGAGTTTGCTCAAACTCATGCCCATTGAGTCAGTGATGCCATCCAGCCATCTCATCCTCTGTTACCCCACCCTCAGTCTTTCCCAGCATCAGGGTCTTTTCCAATGAGTCAGTTCTTTGCATCAAGTGGACAAATTATTGGAGCTTCAGCTTCAGCGTCAGTCCTTCCAATGAATATTCAGCGTTGATTTAGTTTAGGATTGACTGGTAGAGACCTAAAATTCCTGGATCAGCCTTGGGGCAGAGTCCTGGCAGCCACCCTCTTCCCAGAACTACCCCGAGCTTTGTGTGGGCTCTGAGACTGCTGCAGAGCCCCCTGTCTCGGGCGAGGACTCTCAGTATGAGTGTGTTTGTGTGTGTGTGTGTGTGTGATAGTGTCACGCGTGTGTATGCTCCTCGGTTCTTTGTCTCGTCACAGCAAAAATTTGGAGTGACGGAATTAAAGCCCCTCGGCGGGTCACAGCTCTCGGAGGACAGACCATGTTATAGCTCTTAAATAAATCAGTGTTACAGCTCAGTGTTACAGCTCTGTTTATTTAGATAATAGCAGGAAAATCTATCTTCGAGGCATGAGGGCATGTCGATCCAAAGACGCGAAGAGAAGATGGCTCCATCGCTCGGGAGAGAGAGAGAGACCTTTGGCTCCTCTTTTTATATGTTTCTCTGTCGCTAGGCCTGTCTTATGTAAATTGGGCCAGCCAGGAGTGTTGTTTGTTTTACCTGAGGTTCTCACTCCGGTCCTCAGACCTTCCTTTGTTCTATTTTCGAGGGCTTTCTCTTCCAGGTCTTTAAGCCACCGCCATTTTGGACTCTTTTTCCCTATTCTAACTACCTAACAATAGAAAGGAGGTTGTGCCTGAGAGGAGAAGGGCAGAAGAGAGGAGTGTGTGTGTGATGAGGAAGGTAAGTGAAGAGAGTGAGGGACCACTGGGGAGAGTGTGTTGGGTGTGAGGGGAGTAACTACAACTCTAATGAGTTGGGTGTTTGATGTGTGTGTGTGTGTGTGTGTGTGTGAGACTGTGGACAGGTGAGCTTGGGACAGAAGGGGAGTGGACAGTATGCATATGCAGAGGTCCCAGTAGCGGATCCCCTTGGGGACCAGAGAGGAGGAAGACAGTGAAGGGAAATGGCTGTGAGGGGAAAGTTTCTGGATGGCAGTGGACGTAGACAGGAGCCTTCTGTGTGGAACTTTGTGTGAAGCAGTGTGTACAGTGTGAGGAAACCGGGCTCCCTGTGGGAGGGGAGCCTGGTGTGTCTTGGCAGAGAGTGGAGAGTGTGGAGGGCAGGCAAACAGGCAGTTGTGTGTGAAAGAAAGTGTGTGGTGGGGGGTGGGGTGTGCAAAGTGGGGAGAGGGTGTGCGGAGACTTGCACGGACAATTTCTCGAGGGCTGGTGTGCACAAGGGTGGAAGGATATAAGTGAGAAGCATGGAGTGTATGAGGGGTGTATAAGTGTGTGGAGCTGGAGAGTCAGGGTGGAGGATGAGGGGGCTTGTGTCTGTGAATGTGGGGGCTGTGAGAAGAAACACGGATGGGGAGTATGGGGCTAAGGCGGGTGATGGCTGTTGTTGCAGTGGTTGCCATAACGACCGACTCCCTCTGGCTGGCTTTTCCTTAGCCTGGACTTTGGAATAAATTAACAGGCTTATTCCTGGCCTGGGCCCAGAACTGAAGTTTTAAGGGAGCCAAAATGGGCGGGGATAGTAAAGAAACTGACACCCCTGTGTCACTCCCTTTCAATCTTTTTTTCTTTTAGCTTGGAAATGCCACACAAGAATAGCTGCCTGGGGACAGGTGTCAGCTAGGGTCACCAGCCTTCACCTGCTCACGCCTGCCCCAGGCCCAGGGGCTGAACTGCATTCCCTCCTTGTTTCTAATCAGCCTGGAGCCTCTGAGCAATTACATTCCCTTCAATCCCCTCCGGCCTACAAAGCTCAAGGGGAGGGACTCCTGGGGGTGCAACAGGTGGGAGTGGGGACACAAATGGAAGTGGGTTTTGTGTGTGAAGAGAAGAGTGTGAGACACTGAATGGAGCTGGGGAGGTCGAGCAGGGTTGGCCCCAAGGGATGCGCAGGGTGGGGCAAAGATGGGAGGTGGAGAGAAGCAGAAGGAAGACGCGGGGGCGGGGCGCGAACCCTCTACCACGAGCACTCTGCCGTGCCCCTCTCCAGGCTGGGTCCCCCTCACTGTCCCCTAATCGCTGCCTCGTCCTCACTTCTCCCTTCACCTTCCTTCTCACCTTCCTGCCTTTCCTCTTACCACCCCCCCATCCCAGGTTTTCCCAGGTCTCCCCCGGGTCTGTCCAGTAGCTCAGGCAGGAAGCCAGGAACCTGCACAGTGAGACCCACCAGCCCCACCCTTAGACAGCCACGGCCACATATGTCCTGAATTTCCAGCAGCAGCAGA